CCTCCTCCTCCTCCTCCTCCTCCTTATCCCCGCCATCGCGGTCTGTGATCACCGCGCCACGCCTGCGGTCAAGGCGCCATGCGTGTGAGCACCGGCGACCGCGGCGGCACACATGTGAGCGGGCGCTAGAGAACCACCAGCGTGCCTGCGAACGCCACAACGCGCGCGTATACAACAGCATGCCAAACCGTGTCGGCACCGAAAACGTTCGCGAGCAGCGCAACTCGTCCTCGAACACCCCGCACAAGCCTGCGTGTGCCATGGTAGCACACGAGAACCGCAGTGCACCTGTGAGCAGCACAGCATGCCTTCGGGCACCAGCATGCTAGGGGGGAAGGCCATAGAGCAGGACGACGACGACGACGACGACGACGACGACGACGACGTTTGCCGCCTGTTTCGCCCTCCGGAGGCCGTTTTCGGGCGCCGTCGACGACGACGATGGCGACGACGACGACGACGACGACGACGACAACGCTTTTCGCCTTTTTCGGACTCCTGAGGCCGTTTTTCGGGCGCCGTCGACGACGACGACGACGACGACGACGACGACGACGACGACGGCAACGAGGACGACGACGACGACGACGACGACGACGTTGTTTTTGTGCCTTTGTCGGACTCCGGAGGCCGTTTTTCGGGCGCCGTCGACGACGACGACGACGATTCGAGTACAAGCGCAAAGCCCGCAAGCACCAGCATCGCGCATGCGAGCGCCGCAATGGCCTGCGAGCGCCCACAGTGCGCCTGCGACCACCACACCACAGTGCGCATGCCTTCGGGCACCAGCATGTTGGAGGGGAAGACCGAGACCCCCCCCGCGCACGAGCGTTACCGTTACGGGGGGGGGGGGGGGGAGAGGCCCGGGTAACGAGCGTTACCCCCCAGAGGATAAAAAAACAATCTCAGCGTGAACGGAAATGGCCGCGCCAGCAGGTGTCTCCAGCTTCGGTTGGCAGAGCTTCGCCCCGCGGAGACCCCGTCCTCGCTTGAGACACCGCGCGCTGGCAATTCGATATCCGAGCCGCGCACTCGGCGTTCCTGACGCAAAATGACACGGGCCTGCCGGTAACCTTCGAGAGCTCCTTCATCGCGCCCCAGGAGTTTCGGCCACTGGTCCGATTTTTAAGTTCAGCCTCGTTTGCATCTGGATCCTGGCCAACGCAGCCCTCCGAAGTTGGAAAAGGCCGGGGTGGAAGAGCAGAGTGAAGCTCGCAGGCCCCGCCCGCCTTCTGAGACCTAACAGTCCGAAAGCATTGGGCAAATGGCAGGGGCCGTGGGGGCCGAAGAAGGCGAATCCACCAACGACTTCACCTTCCCGCGGCTACCGCGCCAGATATCATCGATGCCTCCACTGAGGGCCTCGAACCTGGAGACATGCCGGCCAGCTGAAGTTCGGAGCAAGACGCCGAGCGCAAACGCGCGCTACCAACCTTCTCGCTGAGAGCAAGCGCCGAGTCGAGCGCAGCCGGCAATGGGAAATCGATGGGGGCCGCACTGGTAAGGCGAGAGCGCTCGGATGGCCCGGGCCCTGCGCGGCGCCGCGTGGGAGAGAGCTGCGCTGGATCAGCGCGGGCAAAGGGCGCCGCCCGAGGCATCCGATCCGTCTTAGCTGACACCTGAACTCCAGGGCACTTCGCGGCTCTAGAGCTGAATCCGGGCCATTGATGGGGATGCCGTTGACGACCAGGGCAATAGAGAACGGTTGCGAAGTCCGCTCTGGAAGAGGCCCCCCTACAGGACCGCCGATGAGAAAGCCAAAAAGGCCTCCTCAGCGAGCCTAGTAGGCCTCCCAGGGGGGTGGGTTGAGACTCGGCGCCGGTAGCTGCTCGTTCGCGCATGCCGCGGTTGGCCTCCAGAGGCTCGCAACCGCCGGGCGCCCCCGGAGTGCGACCCGCGTCTGCAGGGGCCGCCTCGGCCGCGGGCGCCGTCGCATCAGGCCCGCCCGCGTCTGATTTCTGCTCGCACCTCCTTCCTTTGGCCGCCAAGCGCTCGAGGTGGGCCTCGTGGCCAGCACGGGAAGAATCCACCTTGGCCTTGGAGCCCTTGAAATGGCTGGCGGCCAGCGCGGAGACGCCCTCGCGCAACTTGCGCGCGCGAGACTCCAACTCCTGAGCGCCATCTGGCGTGAGCTCGTGCTCCAGTTCATCGATCATGAAGATGCCGTTCGCCGAGAGGTCAGCTAGTTGGGCAGCTCGTCTGCATCCAGGATGTCCTCGATGGAGAGCGCGGGCATCGACGCAGCAGGCTGCTCGTGGCAGGCAGCTGCGAGTGGAGCTTGCGGACAAGCTCACCCTGCTCGGACTCGGACTGCTCGCGCTCGTCACGAAGCGCGCCCGCGCGAGCTCGCTGCACCTTCAACTGCTGGGCCATGGATTCGTACTTGTGCGCTGCAGCCTCCAGTCTCTTCTCAGTGGATCTCGCAATGGAGTGAGCCTTGGACGACTGCGCCTGCGAACTCTCGCTGCGCATGGATGCCGTGAAGGCGTTGGCTGCAAAGCGGTGCAGCTTAGCCTGGGCTAAAACCCCCATCTCGTCGCAAAGCGCAGCCATCTGATGAAGCTCGTCAGCCGAAAGATTCTGGGCGCCAGCGGGGCTGCGCGACCTAGCGCCCGAGGCCGCGGGCGCAGTAGAGGGGATATTTTGGCAGCGCGTTCTCCCTGAGCCGAATGCCAGACACCGCCACTGGCACGTGGATGGGGACGCGCCACAATGTTTGCACCGCGCGAGCCATGAAGCGTTCCGACGGCATCCACACCGTTGGCACTCCCAGCGATGCGCAGGAGAGACAGGAAGCAGGCGTGAGTGAAGACCAGGAAGAACAGGAGGCCACAATTGATAATGACGGCCACCTTCTTCTTGCACCCACGGCGCGTAGTCAAACCCATGGTTCCCTTTGCCGCCTGCCTTGGCTTTGTTGCAGTCCTTGTCCGCCATGACACAGCGCGAATCGTGGTGACAAGTGCCCCTCCAGGAGCTCACGGAACACGAAAGAACTGAGCGACTTCGGCCCGCAACAGCACAAGGCCATTCTGAAGGGGCATGATGCTGCAAACGCAGGCTGAAAACAAATACTTGAGACAGAACGAGTGCTGAGGCCCAAGAGGCGCCCAAGAGGCCCCCAAGAGGCCCAACATCTGCTCCAAAAAAGCACCCCCAAAGGCCCCCCAAAGGCCTCAAAACTGCCTCCTCGAGGTCCCCGAAAGGCCACAAGACGGGCCAAGAGGACCCCACGAGGTCCTCATGACGGTCTAAGGACGCCCCGGAACGCCGAAATATCGCTCCAAGACACCCAAGATAGCCTCAAGATGGCCCAAGAGGCGACGGCCCCAAGAGGTCCACATCATTTCCCAACGGTTTGGGAAGGATTTGGGCGTTCTCGCATTTTCATATTTCCGACGCTCCATGTCGGCCCAAGGCCCCCCAAACCACCCCAAAACGGCCCAAGAGGCCTCCAAAAGGGCCCCAAGGCGGCCTAAGAGCGCCCCAAGACGGCCCGAGAGGCGCCGAAGACGGCCCAAGAGGCGCCCAAGACGGCCCCAAAAGGAGCCCAAGAGAAGGAACACGAACTACAAATCCGAGCCTTCCGCCCCAAGAGGCCCCGAGGAGGCCCCAAGAAGCGCCCAAGAGGCCCCAAAGAGGCTCCAAGAGGCTCCAAGAGGCCCCAAATCGGTCCCCAGGAGACCTCAAGACTGCCTCTAAGAGGCACCCGGAGAGGCCTCCCATGAGATCCAAACGAACATCCAATCGGCTTCATACCCACAACCTATGCACGGTGGCAGGATTGCCCGAAGGCCAAAACATATTCAAAAACATCTTCATTATCACTACCGCCTTCATCATCCTCGCCACCATCTCCATACCCGTACCCACCGTCATCATCATATCCATACTCATCATCAGCACCAACATCCTCGCCACCATCACAAATACCGTCACTACCACCAGCATGACCATCATCATCATCATCATCATCATCATCATCATCATCATCATCATCATCATCATCATCATCATCATCATCATCATCATCATCATCATCATCACCATCATCATCATCATCATCATCATCATCATCATCATCATCATCATCATCATCATCATCATCATCATCATCATCATCATCTCATTATCATCCTCAACCTCATGCCTCCTCCTCCACCGCGCTCTTCACTCCTCACTCTCGCCATCGCTCGGACGTCCGTTCCCCGTGCATGTTTCGGTTTCGCGCGTGCTTGTTTTGCTAGGTGATCCAGGATGCCCCTCGATGACCCTCGCCGAGAAAAAACGCGCACGTCGAAGCGATACCAAGCTCACCATCGTCATGCCTCCTCCTTCGCGCCCTTCCCTCCTACCTCTGCCCTCCTTCCCGGTGGCAAGTCATGAGAGCCTCCCATAACATCTTGTCGGCTCTTGCGAATCGACGCTAGTCGACGCTAAATCGACCCGAATCGGCGCTACATCGACGCCGCTAACCCGGCGCTATCACATCGACTCGCAGACGCTCATCGACGATAATCGACGCTAGAAGCAAAATCGCGAGGGCGCACGAGGCTCCCACGATTTGCCACCGACCTCCTGCACTCCTAGGGCCTTACAGCGTTTTCCGGACCTTGCTTCTGCATGCCCGAGCTCCGTAGCTGCCTGCACGCCCTCCTGTGCTCAGCTGCGCTCTTGGCCCTTATGGACGCTGCGCAGGCCTGACCAAAGCTTGAGAGGTCCCTTCCACTGTGCGGACGGTTTCCCCCAAGGCCGTAGGCGACCCGAGGAGGGGAGGGCGAGGAGGAGGAGGAGGTGGAGGAGGACGAGGAGGAGGAGATGGAGGAGGAGGAGGAGGAGGAGGAGGAGGAGGAGGACGAGGAGGAGAAGGTGGACGAGGAGGAGGAGGAGGAGGAAAAGGGGGAGGATGAGAAGGAGGAGAGAGGAGGAGGATGGGTCGCCTAAGCCTTTCGGAGAAACGCTTGTGCTGCCGACCTCCTGCCTGCTCCTCCTCGCGCCGCCTGGGCCCGCGGCCCCGCGGAACGCATGGCGGGCCACGCTCCCTCCCGAGCGAGGAGCAGGGAACTGCCGCCCCGCGGGGGGGGGGGCAGGGCGCGCCGGCGGCGCGAAAAAGCGAGTCCCTGGGCAAGACTTGGGAATGGATGCGAACCCCTTTCGTTAAACGTGGTTGACTAAACCAGGGGTCCCCGACCCGAGGTCCGGATGAGAACTAGCGGCAGTGGGCGCTGACCGATACCGTCCTGCACGCGCGCCAAACGAGGCCGCAGCAGGTGCAAAACAACGGCGTGGACGGCGGCCCGGCACGGCCTTCGGCGGCTTTCGGCGGTCATCGGTGCGAAAGGAAAATATATTTCGCGTGAACAGAAGTGTCCATGGTCGAACACGTAAACTTAGTGAAAACGACCTCGCGCCAAAACCTGGCGGGCGCAAGCGTGGATAATGACGGCCGCGGCGCCCTCTCGAGAGAACCGGGAACGGACAAATTCACGAATCGACGTGTCAGGGCGGGGGTTCTGTCCACCCTCGAAACACTGGCCTCGGCGCGCGGCTTGCCGATCGTTGCGCCCGGCGCGGCAATCTACAACATCGGGGAGGGTAGTTTCGGGGATCTAACAACCAGGGTCCATGCAAACCTGGGTCACTCGGGCCTTGCAGGATCCTGCAAGATCCCGCGGGATCTTTCTGGAGCTTGCACCCAAGCCCACGTCAATGCACTCCAGGCCTTGCCAGATCCTGCAAGATACGGCGGTCTGGCTGCAAACACCTCCGTCTCTTGAGCCCTGACAATTCAAGGGACTATCTGAGATCCGGCGGCTTTTGGAAATGTCGGGCGCAGCGGCCTCCACGAAGTCCCGCGAAACGGTCCCAGGTGTCATCGGGGGCCCCCCTGGACCCCTCCAGTAGCCCAGAATCAATCGAAAACCGGGAGAAAATCAATGTCGGTCACAATCTCACCTGTTCGCGTCCGATGCGTTCTTGGGGGCCCAAGATGGGTCTATTATGGTCCACGCAGGCGCCGAGAGGGGCCCAAGAGAGGGGGGGGAGGGCGGGATGCTGAGCGCGATGCTGTTTATGGTGGTGATGGTGGTCATGATGTCGGCGACGATAACGGTGATGATGAGGATGGCGACGCCGATGGTAATGATGCTGATGGTGATGGCGGTGATGTCGGTGAAGATGATGATGACGGTGATGAGAATGAGGATGGTGCCACTGACGGTGATGATGATGCTGCTGACATTGTTGATGATGGTGGTGATGATGCTGATGATGGAGGCAGACAAAATTGCACGCAACGCAACTGATCCCGCTGATTGCACACTGCACTGCACGTGCCCGTACTAGCTCGACCAACTTCCTCCACGACAATCTCGCGCAGTCCGTGCGCCAGCAGCACAGCGCGCACAAGATCAGAACCGACCCTGTCAGTGATAACCATCGTCAAATTACCCCACTCAGAGCTAAGATGTTTTTTGGAGATATGTAAGTACTGGATCCAACGGATGTCAAACCTCTGTTCGCACTCGTGGACACAAGCTTCTTCTCCACGCCACCATGCCCCCATAGAATATGAAGGCGTCGAGAGAGCGTCGGTGATCGAGCGAGGCAAGGAACCCATCATGAGATTGTACCGTTGCCTCAAAGAGCGGATCCGCCACCCTGATTGCAAACTTATACGCGCGCCATGGCTGCGGCATAAAAGGGGAATCCATGACGCGTACTGAATCAATACAATAGCAGGAGGACCATGCCACTCTGCCACACCCAACGCCCAACTGCTGAACCAGAGTGGCTACAGACATGCAAGAACAGAGAACTTATAGAAACGTCTGGTGCTGATGCTGGCGATGGCGATGGTGATAATGGTGATGGCGTTGATGCTGATGCTGATTCTGGCGATGATGACGAAGTCGCGTGAAGGTGCGGTGGTTGTGCGGCGCGTGTGCGCGTGGCGCGTCGCGTGGGGCCCCCTATGGTTTGCTGGTCGAAATCTTTGCTTTGGTAATCCCACCAGCCCTCTGGGCGTAGGTGGTCTAAAACGTTTCCTCTTCCACCCCTCCCTCTTCCCCTTCGGGGAGGGGTTCGCCCCCCTCCCCCCCCCGCCCCCCCGCCCCCCCGCCTGGGCGGGGCGTTTCGCGAGCGGTCGGGGCGTCCAAAATGGTCCATGATGGCTCCAAGAGCGCCTCGGAGAGCCCGAGATGAGCTCCAAGATGGCTCAATATAGCCCAAGATGCCTCAAGATAGCTCCGAAGGTGCCCCAGGAGGCCCCAAGGCCGCCCCAAGACTGCTCCAAGAGGCCAAAGAGCTTCCCAAGGAGGCCTCCGAAAGGCCAGAATCCTTCCAGAACACAAAAAAACAAATATGTTGCGCCTTCCCGCTTTTTCGCTTCAGATGGCCACCCGGAGCCTCAAGACGGTTTCAACAAATGGCACAAGAGAGCCCCAAGAGGGCCCCAGAAGAGCCCCGAGACGGCCCAGGAGCGCACGAGAGCGCTCCAAGAGCGCCTCAAGAGAGGCCCAGGAGGTTACTTTTGGGGGGCCCGAGGGGGCGGGGAAGGGGGAGGGGGTCGCAGTTGAAGCCCCCCTCTTTCTTGATCGGAGGCGCCCAAGAGGCTTCCAGGGGGCTCCTCCAAGAAGCCTCAAGTGGATCTCCGAAAAGCATTCAAGAAGCTTCTGGCCCGTCGGTTCGCCGTCCTCCTCTTCCTCATCCACCTCTTTCTCACCCTTCTCCTCCTTTTCTTCCTTATCCTCCTTATCTTCCTTTTCCTCCTTCTCCCCCCTCTCATCATTATCGCCCTCCTCGTCCTCGCCCTACTGATTCTCCTCTTCCTCGTTATCCTCATTCTCCCCCTCCGTCTCCTCCCCCCTCCTCCACCTCCGCATCTTCCCCCCCCTCCTCCTCCTCCTCCTCCTCCTCCTCCTCCTCCTCCTCCTCCTCTTCCTCTTCCTCCTCCTCCTCCTCCGACGACGACGACGACGACGATAGCGATTCATCCTCCATCCCCCCCATGCGCTCTCCCCCCGCCCTGCGACGAGAGCGCGCCGACGAGAGAGAGAGAGAGAGAGAATGGCTGATGATGGAATGATTCACTGACGGTGGCCATGATGATGATGATGATGATGATGATGATGATGATGATGATGATGATGATGATGATGATGATGATGATGATGATGACGATGACGATGGTGAAAAAGGAACGGTGGCTCCTCAGATTGCGGCAAGGACGCCCTCCGCCAAGCGCACTGTGCGACGCCAATACCTGGGGCGGCGGCGCACGCGCGCGCGCGCGACGCCGCTGAGGCCGCAAGTGGAGCGCCCAATTGGACGCGCGAGGCGCGATGGCGGAAAGGGGTTATTTTAGCTTTGATCACCCGAAAGGCGCCAGACAAAACCGCCAGCATCCAACCGTGTGAGAATGATCGCGGGCGGGTCGCCAGCGCCCTCCTTGCCCGCCTGGCCGCCATTCCAAATTAGAACGAAGTAGCGCGCCTCTGCGACTTTGGCGGCCGTGAAGGCCCAGGCGGCCAGTTGCTTGCAAGGCGGCGGCAGCTCGGGCCACGCCGGCGCCTGGGCTGGCCCCGGGCCAGGCGGGCGCGGCGGCGAGATCTGTTCGACGGGGACGCCGCCGCCCACATGGGCGACAGGGAGGGCCCTTGCGGTCGGGCAGCTCGAGGCCGCGAGGGTCCGCGCGCGGCAGGGGCCGACCGTGGGGGGCGGGGGTCCAACCCTTGGCGCGCGGACCGAAGGCCCGCCACACCTGCGAAGGGCGCGCCATGGCGGGCCCCGAGCGCGGACGGGCCCCCAGCTCGGGCAGCCAGGAAGATGACGAGGATGCGAGGATGGAAATGGCGATGGCGACAACGGGGACCACCGCCATCACCACCGTCGTCACCATCACACTCATCATCATAACGATGAGGAAGAGGAGGAATAACATCAGGACCAGGATCATGAGGACCCCCCTTCCACCCCCCCCTTCCCCCTCGTCGGCCCCCCCCCCCCGCCCGGGCCCTCCCGCGCCACCTCGTCGCCGACGCAACTGACATCGGCGCCGTCGTCGAGCGATCGCGGCGACCGCGGCGACCGCTCGACGATGGACGTCCCCCCTCGACCGCCACCGCGGCGAGTTTCATGCTCGGCCCCTGCGCCCCTCCTCCTCTTTCCTCAATCGTTTTGCCCTTTCCTCGCACCCCTCATTACCCTATTCCGCCCTTCCTCAGCATTGAGGAGGGGGGGCGTTTGGTTTTCGTGGCTACTGGCACGTGCAATGTCATTAGTGGAGGCCGCGGCGCAGCGCTGACACAAGACGATCACTGTGTCGCGATTCAGCTCAGCGGGAGGTCGCCCGCCTGACCTTTGCCCGCGGCCGTCCGTCGCGCGGCCCACATGACGGCGCTTTCTGCTTCGACCGCGCCTGGGGGAACGCCTCTGCCTTGATCTGCCGCCAGAGCGAGGGCGCCTTCGGCCGCACCTCGATCGCGAGCTCCTCTGGCGGTGGCCGCGAGGCCTGCTTCGACCGCGCCCTGGGCAGCTGCGCCCGCGTCTCGTGCTCATCCCCCGGCGGCGGCGGTCGCACCGGCGGGGGCGGGGGCGCTTGCGGCGCGCCTGCTGGAGGGGGGGACAGCGAGGCGATGGTGGCGCGTCTGCTGGGCGGTGCGCCTGCGGTAGCGGCGCCTTCTCTGCTGCTGCGCCGCGGGCCGCAGCAGCCCGCAGCGTTGGCGCCGCTGTCGGGCTGCTGCTGCCGATCCCTTCGCTGGCGTCATCGCTGTCGTCACCCACTGGGATGTCTGCTGCGTCGGCTGCTGGCGATGTTGGCGAGGCGACGCTGCGTCGGCTGCTGGCGCTGTTGGCGATGCTGCGGGCCGCGGGCTGTCGACGCCCGCATCGCTGGGGGATCGGGGCGACGCTGGGGAAACCCAATCAGAGGCAGGCCCTTCACTGCGGCTGGGGCGCCATTGCTGCTGGCCGCGCTGCCCGTAACTGGCGCTGCTGCCACTGCTGAGGCACCGCTGCTGGCCGCGCCGCTGCTGGCCGCCCCCCGCTGCATGTGGGCGGTCTGCTGCCAGCTAGAACCGCTGCTCGGCATGCGCTGTCCGACCTGGGCCGCCTCAGGGGCCGCTGCAGCCGCGTCATATGCTGGCGACCATGCTGCAGCCAGGTAGGCGGTCTGCTGTTGCTGCTGTTGTCGCCACTGCCATTGTTGCCACGGCTGCCACTGCGACTGCTGGCGCTGCCAGCAATTGTGCCAGCCCGCCGCCTGCGACTGCTGCGAAGTGCCCCACTCGGTGCTTTGTCGACGCTGCCAATGCTGCGAGACGTCCAGCTCCATCTTCTGATCGCGCGCCCACGCCGCTGGATCTGTCCAGATCTGAGACCTGGGAAGCAGAATCTGGCACGCGCGCTCGCATTCCTCGCTCCCTTATCCACCAATCCCCCCCCTCATCCCTCCCCCCCCATCGCTCGCCCTCCCAACTCCCTCCATCATCGCTCCGTCATCCCTCGCCCATCCTCTCCTAGCCGCTCGGCACCGGATGACCCGTCGATGTCCTCGTCGCGCGCGCTGTCGCGCCCCCCCGCGCCGCTGCCAAACTTTGTCTGATTGTGCTACCCACTGGCAACGGCGCTATTCGTCAGCTTCAGCAGGTCCGAGCCGCTCGGCGGCGTGGAGGAGTTCACGTAGTTCGCCACGTCCGCGAGCGCGGCGTGCAAAGCTGCGGCGCAGCCAGTCTCAACGCGGCAGCCCACCCGTACAGGGACACGATGGCGGTGTCGTAGGTCGATACCGAAGGGTGAGCACTGAACTGGTCGCTCTTGACCGAGATTGCGCCCTCGCCCGCTACCGCCCCAGTTGAGCCGATGACGAGGGTGCCAGGCGTGCACCTCAAGAAGAAGACTGCGCCGCTACTATACCCAGTACTCGTCAGCTCGTAAGCTTCGAGCACGGCCTCGGCGAAGACCTGGTCGTCGTCGTCGACCTCGGCCCTGAACCCGCAGACCCCGACTCCAGCGATCCCTTTCCGAGGGCCCGAGGAAGCCGCCCCGAATGATGTCGAGCAGGTTGGTGAGCTTCGCGCCATAGCTCAGCACCGATGGAAACGCTTCTTTGCACGGCCCACATTTCTTCGCCTCGCGGGTAGTTGCCCAGTCGGGCCCCGTCCTCATGTCGCACCCCACGAAACCCTACGGCAACATGTCGGTGCACGCGCGACCGTTCGGCGGCGTCTTATCGATGAGCTCGAAGCACAGCAGGTCGCCGCGGTTGTCGATAACTTTCGAGCCCCCCAGCGCGCGCGGCTGGCCACTGCTCCTGAAGAACGCCTGGGTCGCGGGCTGCAGCGGCGGGCGCAGCGCAATGCGCGAGCCTTGCGGGCCGTCGTGCCTGGGGGGCGCGGGGCAACTGCGCGTTGGCCCGGTCACCAACTGCGCTATGCCTCTGCTTGCATCTCGCCCCCTTCTTGCACCAGCCAATATGATGAAATTCGCAGAATGGCCTTGCAGCGCCCACTAACTGCAAGAGCTCGCACGGCGCCGGCATGTCCGCCGATGGCGCCGCCAATCGACGCGAGGTTCTGGCGCCGCACGCGGGCCTTCCAATCCTGCAGCCACAAACGGTCGGCCTCCAGAGGGGCGTCGCGCAGCGCGACAGGCGCCAAACCGCCGGAAGGCCAGGGCACCTGGTCCTTGCTGTAGGAGACCACGTTGCCACGCTCCGCGGAGTGGAGCGGACAGCTGGAGCAGATGTAGGAGAGCGAACTGGAGCGGGATATGTCAGCTGGCGGGCCGCCGAGATCGACGCACTGCGCAGCAATGTTGTCGAGCGACCGCCGATGCAAAACTGCGGGGCGCTTCCGAATTGGCGGCGCCCCGCCCCCGCCAAGCCAATTGATCGCCTCGATGCCGTCGTCGGCCCGGTCGACCCGAGCCAGAGCGCCGCCGCGACCGCCGGCATCTGGGGGAACTTCGCGAGGTAGGAGAGGAAGGGGAAGAGCATTTCGCTGACGACTGACAGCCGCGGGCTGTCAAGGGCGAAGGGCCAGGGGGGGGGGCCCGGGATGGCCGAGGTCCTGGCGGCCGCTGCGCAGACGCCGTTGGGCGCCAGAAGACTTCGCAGCCTTGCCGGCGCCGCTGCCCTGTCCACCGCCGCGGCCGCCAGCGGGCGGGCGGAGCAGCTGCCGCTCCTCGCGCGCCTCGCGGCGCTCCTTCGCGATGGCCGACTCGGCGGCCAACTGCTTCGGGATCCACTCGGACAGGGCGGAGCAGACCATGGGCCCTCTGGTGGACTTCATCCCCATGAAGAAGAACTGCTCGTCACCGCCGCTGCCGAGCGACCGTGGGCAAACCAACTTGTCCTTGCGCCGCCCTTCGCGGAGCTGGAGCTGCCGCGCGACGAGCCCCATGGAAGCCAGGTTCGACCCGTCGATCTGGTCGCGCGACTGGGCGGCCAGCATGATCTTAGAAAACTCGCGATGCATTGAGGCGATGGGATCGGCGACAGGCACTGTAGATCCCAAGGCCGCCTTCCAGGCGAGATGATGCCCTATCGGCGAGCCCCCGTTCTCCACCTGGCATGTCGCGACCCAGTGGTACGTGGAAGGGCCTGGCACAGGCCAGTCGGGGAAGCTCGTCGGTCGCATGAGCTGCAGGCTGACCCTGAACTCCCGATGCCATTGGCCCTGCGCGTCGCAGGCCGTGGCGAGCGCCCGAAGGTCCCCAGGCCCTGGGGCGGCAGCGCCGTCGGGAGACGCGGGGGCTGCAGCAGCGACGCCATCTCCACCAGCGGCAGGGGCAGCGGCAACCAAGGCGGCAAGCGCAGCGAGCCCGCCTCCAGCGGATGGAGCGCCCGCCGCGCCGCCAGCGCCTGCCGGGGCGGGGGCGGCGGCGGCTGCAGCGGCGCCGCCGACTGCCACGGGCACGCCCGCGGCGATGCCGCCTCCCACAGGCGCGCCGCCTGTGGCCACATGGATGGCGGGCAAGCCGCCACCACCAGCAGCGCCAGGAGCAGGGGCAGCAGCAGGAGGACCCCCGCCAAGGTCGCGCTCGTGCTCCGCCATCTTCGCGGTTCCGAATGCGAATGCCTGGGCCAGCTGGGCGACCGTCGGCATGGCGGCGAAGTCGTACCGTCGCAGCCCAGCAGGTATGACGGCACCCTGCGGGGCTGCAGCAGGACCCCACTCCTTCCAACAGTTGCGGATGTCCGCGTTCCCCGCGTCACACTCCTCGACGTAAACATCGAAGTCGGGTGTGAGCACCGCATAGTGCTCGAGCCCTCGGGAAGACAGCGCCACAACGATGCGCTTGTGCGCGAGCCGCACCCAAGGTTCGTCGTGCTCAACCCAAATCTCATCGCCGACCGAGATCATGAGAAGCGGCCCAGCCCGCCAATCTGCTGCCCGCGTCGATCAGGCGAGTCCACACGCCCAGGCTGCTGCGCGTTCGCGCGGAGGTCGCCCCCCAGAGCGGGCCGCCGAGCGCGACCCTGGCAAGGCAGTCGGGCCGCCGCCGCGGCTGGCGAGAGCCCCCAACGCATGAGCTCGGAGGCCAACGGCAGCCAGACGCACAGCGTCGCCTCCCACGCCAAGGAAGGCCGCGGCCCGATGCCCTCGTCGCAGACGGGGGGCACTGCGGGCAGGGCGAGGGGCACGCGCGCGCGGCTTCCCTCGCGTCCAAGGCGGCCGCCAGGCAGTCAGCCAGCGGCACCTGGACCCTACCGGCCCCGCCAGGCGCCGAGAACGGGCCCCCCTCCTCAGGCGGGAAGGCCGCCGCTGCCGCCGGCGCGACGGGGGCCGCGGGCACGGCGGGCTGCAGCCACCAACGCGCCAAGCACAGGAGAATGGCGTTGCCTGCAAGCGGGAGGCCGATCCTGGAGCCAACGCGCATCCGGGCGGAGGCCTCTCCCTCCAGAAAAAGACTGGAGCCGACGCGGTCGCGGCGAAGATGCGTGACCACGACGGCCTTCGGTTCCACTGAAGATGAGATGTGCAAACACGGCCATCATCATCATCATCATCATCATCATCATCATCATCATCATCATCATCATCATCATCATCATCATCATCATCATCATCATCATCATCATCATCATCATCATCATCATCATCATCATCAGCATCAGCATCCATCAGCATCAGCATCAGCATCAGCATCAGCATCAGCATCAGCATCATCATCATCATCATCATCATCATCATCATCATCATCATCATCATCATCATCATCATCATCATCATCATCATCATCATCATCATCATCATCATCATTCCCCATTCCCCATTCATCATCACGCACATCATCACGCACATCATCACCAACAAAACCATCATCAGCATCATTATCCTCGTCATTCGCACCATCGTCACCATCATCATTACCAAAGCCATTATCATGTACCTCCCCCTCCTCTGGAGAAAGTCACCCGAGGTTCTGGGAATCCTCCTGGAAGGCCTTGCCCTGAGGCCTCGGCCCAGGATGCTCCTCGATGGGCCTGACCGAGAAAAGACGCACACGTCCGAGCGACGCCAAGGGCCAGAGCACCGCCACAAGCCTCGCCGCTTTTCTGGCAGATGCCGCGGCGGGTGCGAGCAGACGGCTCCCTCTACTGGAGGGAGAAGGAACTGCATAGACATAACTAAGCAATCGGAGATCCGCGCGCGTTTCTTGGATCGGTGCTGGACCCCCCTGGCGGCGGCGGCGCCTCCAGCATTCTCAGGAAACTCGGAAAGCCGCCGTCCTTCTGAGGAATTGTCAGAATCTTCCTCAAAGACACAACAACAAACTCCTCTAAAGGCTTCTGAGAAACCCCGCCGCCTTCTGAAAAGGCCTGCCCCCTCTCACTTCCCCCCCTTGGGCGCGCCGCCGCTTATGTTTACGCAACTTTTCCCCGTTCGAGTCTACCTTCTTTGTAGGCGTACATGGCCGGGGCGGTCGCCGCGGCGGTCGCCCCGGCGCTGGGGTTTGCCGAACGGCAACCCGCTCAAGCCAAGAACATGCTCAGACTCGGGACCTTGCTCAGGTTCCTCACTGGGCCTTCCTGCAGCCCCCACCTCGAGGGGTCGCCAATCACCAGCCGCGCGCCGACGCCACGCAGAAAGTTGCTCCACACACACACACAAACACACAAACCCACAAACACACACAAACACCCAAACACACAAACACGCAAACACACAAACACACAAACACACAAACACACACGCACACACCCACACCCACACCCACACCCACACACTCACTCACTCACTCAGTCCCCGCTCTCCATTTCTATCTGCGTTCTCTAGCAATGAACACCTCTCCCCAACTGAGGTATCCGCCACCTGGGATCAATGCGATCACCCCCCTGGTCTCCCCCAAACCACCCGTCAGAAAACGCTGCACAACGCCACCTACACACATATTCACACACTTTTCGGTCATCAACGGGCAAGCGACTCGCCGTGCCGTCATGTGATTCACGCGGGCGCGCGCGCGCCGGCAGGGCAAGAAACTCGGCGAGCCTTCGCAGGGCGGTGGCCCAGCGGCGGCGGAACCGTGGTGGGCAAGTGGCAACGGCCGCAGGGCGGCGGGAGAGGGGCCGGGCGCGCAGCAACGAGTCGGCGGAGGAACGCCATCGACGCCAAGACACTGGGGAGCACGAGCCCGCCAGGGTTAGCCAACTGGAAGGGCAGCCCGCCGGGTGGCGGGCGGAAAAAATACTCAAGGCGGACGCTTGTGCCAGGGGGGGCTCCCAGACAAAAGCAGAGGCGGCGCGAAAGCCAGAGCAGACCGGGCGGAAGAGCGGGCCGACGGAACGGCGGCGGGGCGGGGAGAAAAAAACGGCGAGTCGGCCAACGCGGCGAAACCGCAGCGGGGCGACCACACGGACGGGCGGAGGCCCAGCGATCAGCGCGGAAGGCCCACCCTGGCGATTAGCTGGGGCGAGGCACTTTTTACATGCGGACGCGAGCGCGCGCACCGACGCGGGTGTTCGGACCTCCCCCCCAAGGCTCAGTCTGGGACCTTCGGGGGTTGCGCACTGCGTTGCGCATCTAGGCGTGCAGACGCCGCCGCGCGATGCCCCCGGCGCAAGGCAATTCGCCCACGACCAGCGCCGCCAGGCACCGCGCCAGCAGACGCGTCCGTTAACATGGGCACACGCCCCCCTGCAGCAGGTCTGCTGCCGACGCCACACTGCCGCCGCAGCGTAGGCAGGAGACGCGGCTGGGCCCGCGCGCGAGGGCGCTGGGCCACCATGAACGCCCCGCGAAAAATACGGTCACTATGTCCCCCCTGCTGACGAGACATCGGCACCGCCCTGGCGCGGGCAGGTCGGCGCAGGCGTCGCCGGGCTGGCGGGGGCGTCGGCCGCCCGGGCAGACAGGGCGCGCGCCCGAGGGCCGCGGCAGACCCCGCGCCAGTCGCGCCGGCGGCGGCGCGCAGCTGGCGGCCGCTGGGGGGGCAGCCTGCCGCGTGGCCCGCGCAGCTGGCCGCCCTCGCAGCGCGCTGCACGCGTCTTGGTTCCCGCGCAGCGCGGGAGCCACAACGCGCCGCGCGCCCTCCATCTGCCCTAGGTCCCGGCGGCGAGCGCGCGCCGCTTTGCCGTGGCCGCCGCGTTGCCGAGGCGGCCCCGCTCGCTCAGCCCCAGGAGGCGCGTCTCCGCTGGCGCCCTGTGAGCCTGCGCCCAGCGGGCCCTCAGCGCGGAATCCACGGCAACCCCAGGTCCCGCGGGCCAGCGCCTGCCTCGATCTCGGCGCGCTACTGCGCCGCGCGCTGGCTGCCCGAGGCGAGGTCGATCGGGCCGCCGACTGCGCGAGCCGCCGCCGCCGCGGCCGCCGCCTCGGCCCTCCGTGACCCCTGCGCCCCGGCGACAGGGCCGGGGAGGTCGGGGGCTGCAAGGCCCGCGGCCCGGGGGCCCCAGGCTGCTCGCGCCGGCGGTGGATGAGCGGGGCAGAGGCGCGCTGGGTCGCTCCACGCCGTGCGGCAGGGTGCCTGGGAGCAACGCTTTTAGGTCAGTACCTGAGGGTCGTCGATCCCAGCGGCCTCTGCGAGGGCAGCGAGGAGCGGCGGCGACGCCGAAACCCCAGTCTGCGAGACCCCCGCTGGCAGCCGCCCCCGCAAAGTCCAGGAACCACCAGATAGCGTCACCGACAACGGCGCGGCAGCAATCTCGGCGCGGCGAGGGTTCCCCCGCGCAGGGCACGGCCAGAAACTGCGCTCGCGGTCCGCGGCTGCCAGCCCGCAGCGCGGGCGCGAGCCCGCGTCGCCTGTCCACGTCGCCGCGATGGCCTCCGCCGCGACGCTGCTACCAGGCCCCGAGCTGCCGGCGGGTGGCCCACCTGTCCGCCCCGCCGACCAAGCAGGCGAAACACGGCCGACACGAAGCAACCTCCAGAGACTCGGCCTGGCTCCGCGCTGCCACAAGGTCACGTTCAGTGGATCGCCTCGAGTGCTCCGCCGGACGCCGCCCGAGCGGCGCGACGGGCGCGCCGACCCAGCGCCCCGCGCGTCGTCGCCCAGCCCGAGCTCGCGCGCGCGCCGTGCAGCGCGGCTGCCGCAAGGCCAACGGCGCGAGCAGCTCCGGCGTTGACTGCAGCACCCGCGTGCCGCCGCGAGGCCGTCGAGGTCGCGCTGGCCCGCCCAGAACGCTCGCGCCGCCCGCCGTGCTGGCGCGGCGCGCGCCGCCGCCTTGGGGCCCGGGCGCCGGGCTGGAATCAGCCGCTGGGGGCGCCGGGCTGGACTTTGTGCGCCAAACCTGATCTCAGCCGCCGCTGGGGGCCCGTGGCCGGAGGCGCGGCGGAGCCGCGCGAGCAAACACACACACACACACTCTCACACACACACACACGCACACGCACACGCACACGCACACAGAGACACACACACACACACACACACACCGACACGCACACACACACGCACACACACACACATACACACGCGCAACACACACACATACGCACACACACACACACTCACACACACGCAGACACACACTGTCTCACACACTGTCTCACACACGCACACACACGTACCCCCCCCACACACACACACACACACACACACACACACACACACACACACACACACACACACACACACACACACACACACACACACACACGCACGCACACACACACACACACACGCACACCCGCACACGCACCCGCACACACGCACACACGCACGCACGCATGCACGCACGCACACGCTTACGCTTACGCTCACGCTCACGCTCACGCTCACGCACACGCACACGCATACGCACACAAACACACACACACACACACACACGCAAGCACACACGCAACCACACACACACGCAGACACACACACACACACTCTCACACACACACGCACACACACACGTACTCACGTACTCAGACACACACACACACACACGCACACGCACACGCACACGCACACGCACACGCACACAGAGACACACACACACACGCAAGCACACACGCAACCACACACACATTCTCACACACGCGCACACACACGCACACACACACGTACTGACACACACACACACACACACACACGCACACACAAGCACGCACACGCACAAGCACACGCACACGCACTCTCACACACGCACGCACACGCACGCACACGCACACGCAACTGCTCACGCGCACGCGCACGCGCACGCACACAATTACACACACACACACTTTGTCGCCGCGGCCACGCGCGCGGCAACGCGGCGGACTCAGGCTAGCAAGAGCGTGAGGAAGGTGGAGCGGCGGCCGCGGCCAAACACACACACACACACACACAAACCAAAACACAAAAAAACAACAAAACAAATTATCCCGGCAAAGCAACCTAACAGCGACGTGTATAAGCATATCTGGAAGCATTCCCCTTAAGATTCAGGTGAGAATCCAGTTGTAGAATTCTGCTGTTCTCGCAATCGCAGTCGCAATAACAGTCACAGTGGCAACGGCCTTAGGATCCAATGGAATCCTAAGGATTTCTAGGGATTCCTAAGGCATCCTTTGGAATCCATAGGAATCCTTAGGAAACCTTAGGAATCCTGATTCCTAGGGATTCCTGGGGATTCCTAAGGATTCCTAGGGAATCCTAAGGATTCCTGAGGATTCCTAAGGATTCCTGAGGATGCTTAACCATGCCTACGGATTCCTAAAATCCGAAGGATTCCTAGGGATTCCTATGGATTCCTAAGGATGCCTCAGCCTGCCTCAGTTTCAGCCTCAGCCTCAGCCTGCCTCGGCTTGCCTCAGCCTCAGCCTCAGCCTGCCTCGGCCTCAGCCTCAGCCTGCCTCAGCCTCAGCCTCAGCCTGCCTCGGCCTCAGCCTGCGTCAGCCTCAGCCTCAGCCTGCCTCAGCCTCAGCCAGCCTCAGCCTCAGCCTCAGCCTCAGCCTCAGCCTCAGCCTGCCTCGGCCTCAGAGTGCCTCGGCCTCAGCCTGCCTCAGCCACCCCTCCTCCCCCCCCGTTACCCCCCCATTCAGCCTCACCTTGTCCCAGCTTCGGCCTCATCCTCAGCCTCAGTCTCAGCCTCAGCCTGTCTGGGCCTGAGCCTCCTCGGCCTCGGCCTCAGCCTGCCTCAGCCTGAGCCTGCCTCAGCCTCAGCCTCAGCCTGTCTCAGCCTCAGCCTGCCTCAGCATCAGCCTCAGCCTCAGCCTCAGCCTCAGCCTCAACCTGCCTCGGCCTCAGCCTCAGCCTGCATCAGCCTCAGCCTCAGCCTCAGCCTCAGCCTCAGCCTCAGCCTCAGCCTGCCTCAGCTTCAGCCTCAGCCTCAGCCTCGGCCTCAGCCTCAGCCTCAGCCTGCCTCAGCCTCAGCCTCAGCCTCAGCCTCAGCCTCAGCCTCAGCCTGCCTCAGCCTCAGCCTGCAGCCTCAGCCTCAGCCTCAGCCTGCCTCAGCCTCAGCCTCAGCCTCAGCCTCCAGCCTCAGCCTCAGCCTCAGCCTCAGCCTGCCTCGCCTCGGCCTCAGCCTCAGCCTGCCTCAGCCTCAGCCTGCCTCAGCCTCAGCCTCAGCCTGCCTCAGCCTCAGCCTCAGCCTCAATATGGCACAGGACTGGTGTTCTGGGAACACGAAGAT